GGGATTAATATGAAGTCACGCGTCGGATGGGGTTGGGTTGGGTTGGGTGGGGCCGATCGCATATGCAGGAGCAGAGCCGTCGGGCTGCCAGCAGAGCCGGCCGCGGCCGCCTGAGATGAAGAGCGTTTTCGCCGCAGTGAAATGTGCCAAAGTCATGAAGTGCCCCCCCCCCTCCCGTCCACCCTTCCGCCCCGGCCGGCGGAGAATGAGAACGAATGAGACCATCAGCCTAGTTGCATATCCGCGGCAACGCGATAGGGCGGCGGAGCCAAGGCGCGAAATGGAGACTTGAGCGGGGCGGGGACAGACTTTCAGTGTCGACTAAATTATACCGTATACCGGCGGAGCGAAGGTGTACGCCATCCAAGATTTTCCATTCTTGGCGAATCTCGGACGGGTCACCATCACCATCCCAAGACAGCGTGTTGTACGTTCGGGTGCTATTCTAAGAGTAGCGTAAGCCAACTTGCCAACTGTTTAGGAGAGTATGAAAGTGTTCAGCCTTTTCTAATAATATTTTACATCACAGAAACTATTCCAAACACTTCGCAAAATTTTAAGCGTGCGCTTAGGGTTCGTGCGAAAAGTTCACGTTGCAGGAAAGATGTTACCTGCTACCAGCCAGGGGTTAAGGGAGCTCAAGAGACTGAACATAGTAGGTTCGTACGAGATCATCCAGGAGGTATGTTCATCATTCACCATTACAGATCTATGCAAAGCATAGTCACATCCTCCCCACCCTCTTATAGCGCCTGGTGGGTAGGCAACATCATATCTGCAGTGCACGCGTGCATTGCGGGGTAGCCTATCCCGCGTCTCGCAGGCGCCGAGCTCCTGTGCCTCACCGAATCTTACTCCCCGGGGAAAACTGACGTACAGTCTGGATGTCTCGTTGCCGCCATATAAGAGACATTGGGCGTAAGGTTCACCGCAAGGGGTAGAACGCGTTGTTTTGAACCCGCCATAGACTTCCATAGCGAAATACCACGTCGTCATTCAGTAATTTACGGGCAATGCTACCACGTATGTACTAACACTCGAATGCAAGAAAAACCTTCTTTAAAACCTTAAGAAAATCAAAGCTAAACCGCTTTGCCGCGCCCCTCCAGACCTGACCTGGCTCAAGGCGCGCGGGAGGGCCCCCCCGCCTGGCCGCGGCCGGCCCGCTGCTTCCTATGGTAATGAGATCGTCCGTGTCTGATCTGGGTTGCCCGCCGCGCCGCGCCGCCGTGCCGCTGCCCCGGCCTATCGATGATTTACGTGTGTCAGCGCGAGCCAGCGGTCACGGCGCGTGACGTCACCAAAAGGGCGCCGGGCCTCTGAGCACGACCCCCATGCCCATACACACCGCTCGGCAGATAGAGCCGCGCGACCTCGCCGCCCGGCCCATGCGGCCCGTCCATAACACCGCCAGACACATCGGCGTCGTGAGCGCCGAGCGCAGCGCACAGACTTATATATACGTGCTGCTTGTCCTTTTCTTTCGTATTACTATTTTCCAGAGCGTTATGATTTAGCCGGCGCCCGGGTTTCGCCCGCCGCGGGGCCGCCCCGCCTGTAGCCCCGCCCCGCCACGCATAAACACACAGCGGAGGGCCCATCCATTCATGCGAGGGAAAACGGGGCGGGGC